CCCTCGCTGAAAAAAAGCCACTTAGAGTTGTTTGACACACTTATAATTATCACAGCACCTCCTACCGTGATCGAAATCAGATGCTTGGCAACGGATTCATATTTACGACGATTCCCTCTTCTGACAAGCGGGGAAAACCATGTGGCTAAATTAAGATTCATTTGACAACCGAGGCAAGAAAGGTCCCCCGATAGGGGGGAAACTCGCTTAACAACCATCTCGCTTAACAACAGAAATTTTGGGGCTCGATTGTGGTCGTAAGGCGAGGACGGTTTGGGATGCCGGCCTTTCCCCCCCCCCACCACTTTCTGTAGACGTTAGGCTATTTTTTAAGGTGACAATCAGAGTAACAGAATGACCAAGTGGGAAGGGACCTGGGAGGTCTTCCAGTCCATCCCCTCGCTGAAGTAAGAGGCTCTACACCATTTCAGACAATTGTCCAATCTATGGAGATTCTCAGTCATCCAGGTCATGATTGTCCCAAAGCAACTGGACTTCCATGGTTTTTATTTGAAGATGTTTCCCTTCTCATCCAAGAAGCTTCTTCAGCTCTGACTGGATGGTGGGAGAATGGAAGGATTTATACTCCTTGCAGACAGCTAGTCATTGGCGTCCTTGAGTCATTGAGGCCACTTGGAGGTTTATCTGTGTCCTAAGGATCACTGCAGGTGGTCCTTGAGTGGCCTCAACGACCCGCTAAAAGGATGCCAATGACCAGCTGCCTGCAAGGAGTATAAATCCTTCCGTTCCCCACCATCCAGTCAGAGCAGAAGAAGCTTCTCGGATGAGAAGGGAAACGTCCTCAAAGAAAAACCATGAAAGTCCAGTTGCCTCCTGAAAAAAACACATTTGGGATTGTCCAACATCTTCTTAAAAGCTTCCAGTGTTGGAGCATTCACAACTTCCGAAGGCAACTTGTTCCACCGATTAATTATTCCAACTGTCAGGAAATTTCTCCTTAGTTCTAAGTTGCTTCTCTCCTCGATGAGTTTCCACCCATTGCTTCTTGTCCTGCCCTCTGGAGAATAGCTTGACTCCCTCTTCTTTGGGGCAGCCCCTGAGATATTGGAACATACTTCTATCACATCTCCCCTAGTCCTTCTTTTCATTAAGCTAGACATACCCAGTTCTTGCAACTTTTCATCATCATCATCATCATCATCATCATCATCATCATCAGCCTCCAGTCTCCTAACCCTCTTTGTTGTGCTTCTCTGGACTTCCTTGTTTTTCTTTGAAGACCTTTTGCTTCTCTTCCCAGAAGCTTCTCCAGCGCTGACTGGATGGTGGGGAAACGGAAGGATTCAGTTCAGCGCTGAACTGGGATGCGTCTTCCAAAGCAAAACAAATTAAGTCTCCTTTACCACAGATCGGTTTCCGCAAAAGCGCTTTTTCGGGAGGCAGCTGGACTTCCTTTTATTTTTCTTTGAAGACATTTCACTTCCCTTTCAAGAAGCTTCTTTGGCTCTGATGGTGGGAAACGGAAGGATTCAGTCAGAGCCGAAGAAGCTTCTCGGGTGAGTAGCGAAACGTCTTCAAAGAAAAACCAGAAAGTCCAGTGGCCTCTGGAAAAAAGGCAACTATGACCCATATTTCCATAAACACAGGTCAGTTTCTCATTCAATTTTATTCAATTTTAACCAGATTCTCAGCTTGGCAGAGAGGCGGTTTTTTTTCCCGTCCTCTGTTCCCAAGCAACCGTGTTATTTATTTTGCCCCAAAACGCCGCCTTTCCTTTTAGCTATTTTTCGACTGGTTGATTGACAGTGGAAAAAGTGAACATGAGGTTGGCGGAGTAACAGGGTTACAGATGCTCAGAGGACGGGGAAGACAACTCTCTGGCAACGACACGCGTTGCAAAAAACCTCTGCCTTGCTTAACCACGGAAATTCTGGCCCCCTTCGTGGTCGTAAGGCGAGGAGTGCCCGTCACCTGCAGATTTTTCACTAGGGTTTCAAGAATGTTTTTTTTTTTTTAATTTTAAATCTTACACAAATGGATCTTGATTTATTAACAGCCCTGCCGCACACTTCAGTAGCCTGCTTCTCCCTGTTTGCAGTTTGGTTGGTTACCCACTTTTTGCAACATCCTCTAAACAAAAAAAATGTTGATTATCGCAGGATATATATATATTTTTCTGCAGATATTGCTGTTCTTCCCTCAGCAGGTGTTTCCGTCCACGACTCTTGTTTTTATTTTCCAGTGTCGCAGTTGCACAACTGTCCCTTTGATCTCACGGGACAATAATTTTTAATTTTATTACCATTGTCACCCTGGATGAACTACAGTTCTTGTAGTTCTTGTGACCTGCGCCTGAAACGATTTCCCACCCAATCCAGAGGGGGAATATTTTGCTGAGTGAAAATGTCACTTGTAATAAAAACGACGTGAAAAGATGATTCGTTAAGGAAACTTTGCAGCAAGGGCAGCCACATTTTCAAGCCCTGGGATCTTCCCACCTAAAAATAAACATGAAAAAATGTTTTTTTTTTGTTTTAAGACAAAACAAAACTCGAAGAAATTGGCAAATCCTTTGTATTTTGTGAGATTGAGCGGTTCTCCCTTATTAGACGTTAAATCTTGCAAGAGATTCTGATGTGAAGTTCCTAATCCTTCCAAGATTTTGACATTATCAAGAGTTGGGCACTTTTCAAAACTGTCCTAAAGGTACTTTTTCAAGAGGGTTTGGGGTGGTGGTGAAATGCCCCCCCCTTCTCCAGCGGAGAAGAACTCGACTTTTATTAAGAACGCGATAGGGCCCTCTGGACCGCGTGATGTATCAGCTGCCGAAATGCGAACGAGGTTACGAAGCAGCACCGCGGCTGATTTCGCTCTTTTGTCGTTGTTTTAAACATCGGTTTCAAAAAAAAAATAAAAGGATGATTTGGAGGTTTTGTTTCTATTTTTATCCTGCAGGTGTTGGGCGCGATGAGATGATATGCCGGGTGCGAATAGGACGCGATTAATTGGAATTGCCGGTGTGATTTTTGATCATTCTTTTGTTTTGGCTTCTCAGTCTGAAAGGTGGAGAGCATTTGCACAAATATTACTGTGTAATTACCATAAGTGTCTTTCTTGAGATGTGTCTGTTTGTGGTTTAGTCCTGCGCAAGAATCCACACTCCCTGGCACTGAGGACGTCACCTAGTTGGGTAATAAAACGTCTGCAAGAGAGCAACCCAGCTCAGATAGCACCGAGGACCTCTTCCATTCCTTACACCTCACTCCCTTTTAGCACTGATAATGTTACCTAGTTGGGTGATGAAATGTCTGGAAGAAAATATCCAAGCTCACACCTACTTTATATAAACAGGGAGCAAGCCACACTCCCTACTAGTACTGATGATGTTACCTAGTTGGGTCATGAGTCTTCGGAGAGGGGCGGCATATAAATTGAATAATTTAATTTAATATAATATTAATTAAATTAAATTAAATTAAATTAAATTAAATTAAATAATTAAATTAAATTAAATTAAATTAAATTAATTATTAATTAAATTTAATGAAACATCTGCAAGAAAACAACCAAGCTCAGATCTACTGTGTGTGTGTGTGTGTGTGTGTGTATATGGGGATCAAGCCACACTCGACAGCACTGATGATGTTCCCTAGTTGGGTCATGAATCATCTGCAAACAACCAAACTCAGAGAGCGCCAAGGACTTCAGATTAACCACAAACACTGAGTTTTCATTTTTTAAAAAATTCCCAGTCAACATCTATACGTACCAACCAGCCTTCCTTCCATCGTCTCCTATCCTGGCATTCCCTCTTAAGCCATCTTCCCTGAGCACTTGTATGCCTATGACTAATCACGACCCATTACTTTAATGGCCCAGTTATTTTCCTCCCTCTGCTCCCCAGCTCCAAATTGTAACCGCAAATGTGTAATCCGCCCATTATCTTAATTGGGCTTCCGATTATTTGGCACGTATAGTTAAGAAACCGGGACCAGTTAATTTATCATCTTTGGATTGCTCCGAGAAGCCAGTTCCAAGACCCTTAAGTGAGGAGGCGCTTTTGGTGGGATATGTGCTGACCCTCAGGATTGATTTTCTCCAAATTTGGAAGTAAGACGTCTTTGGGGGTGTTTCTGTACTGCTTAAATACTTGGCCCAAAAAAAAGAGGAATGAGGAGCTAACAAAGTTAGTAACTCTCTCCAAGGCCTCTAAATTACTGACTGAGAATCGAGATTAGCCAAAAGAACATGGATTTCCACAAATTAGTTTGTCCCTTAGTTTATGGCCATTCTTCCAAAAAAAAAAAAAGAGAGAGACTCGGTGGAATGGTTTTAAGTGTGAGAAACAGTTGAAAACCACTTTTTTCCAGTGCTGTTTTAACAGTGTTGTGGAGGGAAATGGGCGGTTCAGAAATAGGAAATATAAATACAGAAATTAAAAAAAAAAACAAATTTAGAACAGTCACTTATATGACTGATTGTAAGCACTGGTAGCCATCTCTACCACTACCTCTCCAGTGTGAGCTCTGGAGCAGGTCCTGAATTACCTTGGACGGATAGATAGATAGATAGATAGATAGATAGATAGATAGATAGATAGATAGATAGATAGATAAGAGATAGGTAGATATATAGACAAATAGATCAAGATAGATAGATAGATGATAGGTAGGTAGGTAGATAGATAGATAAGAGATAGGTAGATATATAGACAAATAGATCAAGATAGATAGATAGATGATAGATAGGTAGGTAGGTAGATAGACAGATCAATAGACAGAGAGATATAGATAAGTAGATAGACAAGTAGATATATATATTTGTTTTCTGAGGTTTTCGCGGGTGTTTGTATGTAGGTCTTTGGTTATACGCGAGAGAAAACCCGAATAACCACTGGGCCAAAGTAGCTATCCTACTGTTATAGCACAATCTTTCCAATACAAACTGTTGTTGCTATTACCAAAGTACCCCCTGATTCTTTCCTAGAATTTTGTCCCATCGAACTCATGAGCATTTGTCATTTGTATTCCTATTTCCAGCTGCAGTATCACACCGGCCTGGCCTCTGGTCTTCTGAATCAGCAGTCTTTGAAGAGGTCGGCGAACCAAATGGGGGTCTCCGCCAAGCGAAGGCCAAAGGCTCAGCCCACCACCTTGGTGTTACCACCTCAGTAAGTGTCCGGCGTGTGCATGTGTGAAAGGCGCTCGAATGAAATCTGGTTTACAAAAGGAATCCTGGTTTTTGTGGGTCAGAAGTGCCTGGCGGCTTCCGGGTCTAAAGTAGGACTAGAACTCACCGTCTCCTGGTGATTGGCTCAAAGTCACCCAGCTGGCTTTCTAAGGCAGGACTAGAACTCACCGTCTCCTGGTGATTGGCCCAAAGTCACCCAGCTGGCTTTCTAAGGCAGGACTAGAACTCACCGTCTCCTGGTGATTGGCCCAAAGTCACCCAGCTGGCTTTCTAAGGCAGGGCTAGAACTCACTGTCTCCTGGTGATTGGCTCAAAGTCACCCAGCTGGCTTTCTAAGGCAGGACTAGAACTCACCGTCTCCTGGTGATTGGCTCAAAGTCACCCAGCTGGCTTTCTAAGGCAGGACTAGAACTCACCGTCTCCTGGTGATTGGCCCAAAGTCACCCAGCTGGCTTTCTAAGGCAGGGCTAGAACTCACCGTCTCCTGGTGATTGGCCCAAAGTCACCCAGCTGGCTTTCTAAGGCAGGGCTAGAACTCACTGTCTCCTGGTGATTGGCTCAAAGTCACCCAGCTGGCTTTCTAAGGCAGGACTAGAACTCACCGTCTCCTGGTGATTGGCTCAAAGTCACCCAGCTGGCTTTCTAAGGCAGGACTAGAACTCACCGTCTCCTGGTGATTGGCCCAAAGTCACCCAGCTGGCTTTCTAAGGCAGGGCTAGAACTCACCGTCTCCTGGTGATTGGCCCAAAGTCACCCAGCTGGCTTTCATGGCTAAGGCAGGACTAGAACTCACCGTCTCCTGGTGATTGATGCAAAGTCACCCAGCTGGCTTTCTAAGGCAGGACTAGAACTCACCGTCTCCTGGTGATTGGCCCAAAGTCACCCAGCCGACTTTCGTGGCTAAGGCTGGGTTAGAATTCACAATTTGCCAGTTTCTAGCCTGTTGCCTTTATCATTCGACCAAACTTAGCGTGGTGCAATATGGGAATTTGGTCAACCTGTTGGGGGGGGGGCTACGCTGTTAATGGAGGGCCCTGCTGCATCTTTGCGAAGTATGGAGCCACTCTCTGGAAGTAGTTGAGATGGGCAGAGAAGAGCGAGGGCATCCAAGGACATCGTATCCATTTCTCCTCAGCTTTTATTCCACCTAGCCGCCATCACTTGCAGACTGACGAATTGTCATGGGTGTGGGTATGCCATGGGTTTGTGTGTGTGAGAGAGAGAATTTTGCAGCCGTCCTCGCCACCCAACAAAGCCAGCTCCGTGCTTTCTTAGCAAGTTTCCCTCCGTCTCTCCGATTTGCTCATTATTCTCCATCAGGCTGACAAGAAAAATGGAACGAAGGCGGAAATTAAATAATTGCTTAAAACTCCGAGATGAGCTGCTCGTCCCCCCGGACTTCCCTACCGGGTGAGGAAATAAGTTTTGCCTGGTTGAGAATCCTCCAGTCGGGACGTGATTTAACAAGGAGACTTCGGCACTTTTTTGGGGGGGGGGGCGGGGCGGGCAGAGAACGAGAGACCGGGAGAAGAGGGAATAAGAGGAAAATTTTGTGGAATTGCTTTTCGGTTTCTCGCCTCGTCTTCGGAGATTTTGGGAGCGCTATGGGACGTCCGTGATTAGATCTTGAAATTTGACAGCCCACATAACCAGGTTTCATCGTAGTTTGAAAACAAGGGGGGAGTTGGGCAAGTGCTGCACCCATTTTATGGTTGAACATGGCAATCCAGACAAGCGGATTTTCTAAATCTCTGGTTAGCCCCTTCCCTGTTTTGTTTTTTTAAATTATGATCAAACTTCTATGCTGAGTATCTCGCCGAGGCAACTATAATGAACACATGATAGAAATCATTAAAAAAATAAGAGAGGGAGAGGGAGGGGCTGCCATGAATGAGAGAGGTGACATAAATGGATTGTTGGGGGCTGGATGGATGGCTGGATGGATGGTTGGATGGGTGGGTGGGTAGATAGATAAAAAGATAGACAGGTGAGTGGGATGGATGAATGGATAGATGGATGAAAAGAGAGAGATGTGCCACGAATGAGAGATGTGTCATAAATGGATGGATGGGTGGGTAGTTTGATAAATAGATAGATTAGATGTGTAGTGTGTGAGAGAGAGATGATGGATGGATGGATAGATAGATAGATAGATAGATAGATAGATAGATAGATAGATAGATAGATAGATAGATAGAAAGAATTGGTGTGATGGACCGACAGATAGACAGAGGGAGGGAGAGATGGATGGATGGATGGATGAGTTAGTGGGTGGATCGATAGATTAGATGTGTGTGTGAGAGAGATGGATAGATGGATGAATGGGTGGATGGATGGATGGTATTGGTGTGATGGATAGACAGAGACAGAGGGAGGGAGGGAGGGATAGATACCTCAATTCTGGACTTAAAATATATTTATGAACTTATTTAATCAATTTGTATAGCCAGTAAAGGCTTTATTTATGAAAGGCAAAATGGAGTTTCCACTGGAATCAGCACCGTTCAAACCTCCACACAGTCAGCTGTGTTTCAATGTCATTCCTTGAATTGGGCTGAGATTCCCCCCTCCCTCCTTTCTTTGCTCTTTTCTTCTCTCTTTTTCTCTCCTGCAAAAAAACCCAAACCCTCAAAGGGCTGTGACTCTTCCCTCTCTTTACTGTCTCCAGAGTTGAGAGTTGGGAACAGCTTCTCCTTCAGCTGGTAAAAGCGTTTAGAATCCAAATTCAGTGGAGAATAGATCCATCCTGTTTGGCTCTTTGTTTTATGTCGCTTTCCACCTTGAGCTGATAGCCTTCCACTTAATCACATTTTTTTTTTTTGTCATTCTGATCGGTTTTATACGCAACGATCACTCTTGGATTCCAATAACTCTCTCTGAGTGGAGCCAAATTTTAGTCATGTAATATGCAAGATGTGCAGCCGTTAGATTGACATGCTTAATTAATTTCTCAACTAATGCTCGTTTTATGTCTGCAATGTGTCATTGGCCGTAATAAAGAATCTCTCTGAGCTTTTTCATGGTCATATCAACCTGAAGTAGATTAATTATACTTGTTAGCACTCTTCTTTCTTTCTTTCTTTCTTCTTTCTTTCTTTCTTTCTTTCTTTCTTTCTTTCTTTCTTTCTTTCTTTTCTTTTTTCTTTTCTTTCTTTCTTTTTTCTTTCTTTCTTTCTTTCTTTCTTTCTTTCTTTTTGGCAAAGTACAGCTGAGCCTGTCGGTACAAAACTGGAGAATTTCTTCTGCATGGATATATGGATAGACAGATGGAAGATAGATAGATAGATAGATAGACGGATGGACAGATGGACGAACAGATAGACAGACAGATGGATAGATAGATAGATGAGATACTATAGATAGGTGATAGATAGAGATAGATAGATAGATAGATAGATAGATAGATAGATAGATAGATAGATAGATGAGATACTGTAGATGGATGGATAGATAGATAGATGATAGATAGATAGATAGATAGATAGATAGATAGATAGATAGATGATAGATAGATAGATAGATAGATAGATAGATAGATAGATAGATAGATAGATAGATAGATAGGATAGATAGGATAGATAGGATAGATGGATGGATAGATAGGATGTCGGTGGGTGGATGGAAGGATCGAAGGGAAGGGTGGGATAGAGATAGACAGACAGATATGATACAGATAGATTTTGCAAATAGATAGAAGGGATTAATGGATGGATGGATGGATGGATCTTAATGTATAGACAAAATTGGTCCTGTATCCAGCCTTTTGTTGTCTTCCTCTATCCCTAGAACTTTGTAGGAATTTTGTACAATCCTAACTGTGGGCACAAACAAAGACTTGCCGTAGCAAAAAAAAGTCGCAAATAATATCTGACAAAGTAAAGATTTCTATTCCGGAGAGACCAAAGAAAGCTAAACTTCGAGTAATAACTTCAACTCTTCTACATGTCTTTACTACGATACTGATTTTGGCTTTTCTCTCTTTCTTTCTCTCGCACTCACAGAACCCTTACTAGCAAACGCCGCCTTAAGTAACAATATTCATTAAGCACCTCTGAGATAATATGCAATAAAAGAATAATCCACAGGCCTAGGTCTCGGCTTCTCCCTGGAAGAGTTAATATAATTAAAGATTAAAATACTGTGTGCTTTTTTCGAGACGGAGATCCCATTTTTATACAAAAGGGGAATTGCATTAATAAGGAAGAGATCATTTTCCAATAACGTGCGGGGTATGAAAGGAGATGTTTTCGATATCCTGCTCGTGCGGCTTATCTTGCCGTTCCTCGCATGATTGTATTTTTGGGACATTAAATTAGCAAGTGCAAAAAATAACCGAATCGATTTTGGAAGAACGATACAAGTTGGGGGGCCTACCTCTGCGACTATATCAAGGATGTCAAACTCGAGGGCTGCGGGCTTGAAGAAAATGAAGGTGCTTAAATCTCGCCCGCGGGCCCGCTCTGGAAGCAGAAAAGGACCGGCTCGCGGTGCCTCTGCCAGCGAAAACGGAACTTGGGAAGGCCACGCGCGGAGCCTCGATGAGTGACGTTGGGCTGGCCACACCCCCTTCCCACGCCCCCCCCAGGTCAAACACAACCCATTTTGACTCTCCATCTGAAGGCTGATGGACGGCCCAGGCGCTCTCTCTCTCTCTCTCTCCCTCCCTCCCTCCCTCTCTCTCTCTCTCTCTCTCTCTCTCTCTCTCTCTCTCTCTCTGACAGCTCCATTCCCTCTTCCCCCTTGGACCTCTCAGGTTGCCTTGATGCTGATCCTGACCCCCACACCTCCTCCTTCTCCTCTGATTCGGCTGCTGGAGGGGCAGCCGACAGGCCACACCAGGGTGCCATCCGAGTGTGAATCGCAAGAGCGGGCTTCTCCAAAGAAAATGGCACTTTTCTGGTAGCCAGGGAACATTCAAAATTCATGGGGCATCAGGAACGTGGAAGGAACCCCTCCTTCCGCCCTTCATTTTAAAATCCC